TTAAAGGAAACAACTGTTTTAGTATAGAATACATTATTATTAAAGGCAATAGATATATGTATATATATATAATGAATAATAACATAGAAATGTATAGACAACTGGTACGATAGTTTTTCCAATATTTTCAAAATTATAAAATGTTTCACTGACATAAATAATGTAAGGCCGGGTGCAACCCAATGAGTACAAACAATTTCACAATGATGCACAAAAATATATCAAATTTAAGCACAATAAAGAAAACTTAATTAAAGAGAAAAGATAAGAAATGCAAACCAAATATCAATCCAATAGCCTCTTCAATAGATGGCGATGCTAACCAAGATGTACAAGTGAAGGCTCACTCCTTCCTCACTCCAAACACTCTTTGGTTGAGCCAAGGAGTTTTACAACTATTCTAGTTAACCCTCAACAACCTACACTTGAAAGATCACTCACCCAATTAAGAACTATTTTATACAAATGAGGCAACCTTCACCAAAGTTTTACCACTTCAAGTGATAGGTTCACCTTCACCAAGGTTTTACTCCACTTAGAGAGTAACCTTCACTTGAGCAACCTCACAACCCAACTTTCCCAACCCCTTATACAACCAACAAAGAATCTTTCTACTCAAAAATCTCACTTGTAAGCTTGTATTTTGTGTTGGCAAACGTCCTCTGCCTTCTTGTGTTTTGGGGTATTTATAGAAGGTGAGAAATGACTCCAAAAGGCTCTCCAACGGTCAAATATTAAATGCTGTCGAAACTAGCCGTTGGCCTGTCGGACGTCCGACAGCTTAGTCATCGTCCGATCCCATCGTCCGAAAAATCAGTCAAGTTGTTGTTCGGACGTCCGATGGGATTTTATCGTCCGAACTTCTGTGTCCGAACGTCGTCCAGAGAGTTATCAAATTTTCGTGGAATTTTTAGGACGTCCGATGAGATTGATGTGCGTCCGAAGCATGCGTCCGATCCATCCGGACGTCCGATGCTTCCTCACGAGCGTCCGACAGAATTTCCTTCTTGATGTTCTTCATCCTTTCGGACGTCCGATAGCTTCCTTTCGGACGTCCCACATGAGTGCCCTGTTTTTGCTTCTTCTTTTGTGCCACAAGAATCTGTTCTAACAAATTGCTCACATAAAAACATTAGCCCAAATCTACATTTTGGTTTGTTAATCATCAAAACCAAGGACTGATCAACCAAGGTCAACAATCTCCCCCTTTTTGATGATGACAAACAAAATGAAAATTTCTTTGATCAAATAAGTTCAAATAAAACTCCCCCTTAGAAAATGCCAACATACAAAGAAACTTCAATAAGTCCTACTCCCCCTTTTGGCATCAATATAAAAATATTAGCCCAAATCTACATTTTGGTTTGTTAATCATCAAAACCAAGGACTGATCAACCAAGGTCAACAATCTCCCCCTTTTTGATGATGACAAACAAAATGAAGATTTCTTTGATCAAATAAGTTCAAATAAAACTCCCCTTAGAAAATGCCAACATACAAAGAAACTTCAATAAGTCCTACTCCCTCTTTTGGCATCAATCAAAAAGCCAACTTCCCCTTTATTTTCAAGTCAAGACCATAATAGGGTCCTTGGGAGTTATTACAACATGATCTAGCAATCCACATGGATTTCATACCTTTTCTCATATTTTTCTTTACATAGCAATCATTTTGCATATGTCCAAATTGGCAACAAAAGTGACACATGATAGAAGTATTTTGCACATACGTGGATTTAATGCAACTAATTTTCTTACTTCTTATCATAGCAAACTTATTTGTACCTTGAAAAGATTTGCTTTCTTTTGTTTGAGAAAACGTTTGTTTTTCATTTTGGAGAAACTCGTTCAAATCATTAATTCTTTTCTTTAACACATTTTGTTCCTCCAACATTTTTTCATAAAACTTTGTTTTCTCTTCCAACTTCCTTTTCAAATTATTTTTGCAATCAAAAACACTTTTTTGATTTTTTAAATCATCATTTTCCATTCTCAAACATTTGTTTTCTTGAAAAAGTTTGGAGTTTTCTTCCAACAAATCATTTATTTTTGTTTTCAAATCTTTATTTTTAGCATAAGATTTTCTCAAACTTTTATGCATTTTAATCATAAGAATTTTCACATCATCATCTTCATTATCTTCATCACAAGAAGAGTGATAAGAACTTACATCATCTTCTCCAACGGCCATTAGTGCCATTTGGGCCAACTCTTCTTTTTCTCTTTTTGAATTGCATTCATCCCATGTAATTTTGCAATCTCCTCTTGAACATCTCTTGTTGAAGATCTTCTTGAAACTTTTGATGTGAGGAGTTATATCATTGTCCACTTCCATGATTTCATTACCCATGAAGGATGGGTTATCCCCCACTTGAGATGCTTTAAAAGCTATGCCTCTCTTATACATTCTTGCATTTTCTTCCTCTTGCACTTTGAATTTCAGCTTTAATTCATAAGAGGTTAGGGTATCCACAAGAGATTCAATGGACATAGAATTTAAATCCTTTGCCTCTTCTATAGCATTTATTTTGTTTTCCCATTCTTTTGGCAAGGCATTCAAAATCTTTCTATTTTTCTCACCCAAAGAATATTCTTTTCCAAGCAATTTAAGATCTTCAATAATGTCACAAAATCTACTACACATCTTATCAACATTTTCAAGAGGATGCATTTTGAAAAATTCATATTGAGAAACAAGCAAAGATTTCTTTTGTTCTTTAATATCTTGGTTACCTTCATGAAATACACACAATTTATCCCAAATATCTTTAGCTGATTTACAACCTTTAATCCTACTAGATTCATTTACATCTAATGCATTGTACAATATACACATGGCCTTGGCATTCAAAGAAAGGTATCTCTTGTCTTTTTCATTCAATTCTTGTCTAGTCTTTAATCTACTCAAATTGGTGGTAGAGTCAACTATTCTAGCTTCATAAGGACCATCTTCTACCACATACCATAATTCAATATAAACGGATTGTAAGAAAATCATCATTCTTTGTTTCCACATGCTAAAATGAGAACCATTAAACATAGGTGGTCTATCAATAGATTGCCCTTCTAAAAAAGAAACTTTTATGGTTGCCATGATCTTTACTCTAAGCGGTTAAGCTTGATCAAAAGAGACCAAGCTCTGATACCAATTGTAAAGTCCGGGTGCAACCCAATGAGTACAAACAATTTCACAATGATGCACAAAGATATATCAAATTTAAGCACAATAAAGAAAACTTAATTAAAGAGAAAAGATAAGAAATGCAAACCAAATATCAATCCAATAGCCTCTTCAATAGATGGCGATGCTAACCAAGATGTACAAGTGAAGGCTCACTCCTTCCTCACCCCAAACACTCTTTGGTTGAGCCAAGGAGTTTTACAACTATTCTAGTTAACCCTCAACAACCTACACTTGAAAGATCACTCACCCAATTAAGAACTATTTTATACAAATGAGGCAACCTTCACCAAGGTTTTACCACTTCAAGTGATAGGTTCACCTTCACCAAGGTTTTACTCCACCTAGAGAGTAACCTTCACTTGAGCAACCTCACAACCCAACTTTCCCAACCCCTTATACAACCAACAAAGAATCTTTCTATTCAAAAATCTCACTTGTAAGCTTGTATTTTGTGTTGGCAAAAGTCCTCTGCCTTCTTGTGTTTTGGGGTATTTATAGAAGGTGAGAAATGGCTCCAAAAGGCTCTCCAACGGTCAAATATTAAATGCTGTCGAAACTAGCCGTTGGCCTGTCGAACGTCCGACAGTTTAGTCATCGCCCGATCCCATCGTCCGAAAAATCAGTCAAGTTGTTGTTCGGACGTCCGATGGGATTTTATCGTCCGAGCTTCTGTGTCCGAACGTCGTCCAGAGAGTTATCAATTCTTCGTAGAATTTTTAGGACGTCCGATGAGATTGATGTGCGTCCGAAGCATGCGTCCGATCCATCCGGACGTCCGATACTTCCTCACGAGCGTCCGACAGAATTTCCTTCTTGATGTTCTTCATCCTTTCGGACGTCCGATAGCTTCCTTTCGGACGTCCCACATGAGTGCCCTGTTTTTGCTTCTTCTTTTGTGCCACAAGAATCTGTTCTAACAAATTGCTCACATAAAAACATTAGCCCAAATCTACATTTTGGTTTGTTAATCATCAAAACTAAGGACTGATCAACCAAGGTCAACAAATAATGTTAAAGTAATGATATGATTAATGTTTTTGTACATTAGACAGGTATAGTTCTTAAAAATAAATTCAAATGTAAATCATTCATTCAATGGCAATCCGTTTGGATTGTAAATATTGTAGGAGTTTTGTAGAAAAAAAAAAACACTATTGTAACATTGTTTTAACATATGATGTATGTGAGGTAAAAAGATGGTTGAAAATGTGTTAAGGAATATTCTCATAGAAACTCAAAATATTTTCCATGAAGAATAAATTTTAATGTTTTCAACTACAAAAAAATCCAAAAAAAAAAAAAAAAATAGCGCACAAATGTATACATAATCATTTCTTTCGCTGGAAAAACTAAATAATAAAAATCAAAGATTGAAAGGTTAGTTCTGTTTTTTTATAACTCTAGCATCATAATACTTGTATCAGGCTAATCTTCATCTGAATAAAATTCTTCACAAGCAACAGTTTGAATTGACCAAATCCAAATTGAATAAGATTGGTGCAATAAGTATAAGATCCGTAATCCAAGGTACTAATTAATTAAGAATCTAATTATGTCCAGCAATGACGTTTATATAAACAACTATGCCGTCCAAAACACGCTAAGATTCATTTATATTTAATTATCAACTCCAACGTTATACTACACCGGCCACTTAATTAAGTACTTTAATCTTATTCAATTCCAGTTTTTCTATTTTGTTGTTTGGATATATTACTGCAACAATTGTTCTTCTCTGCATCTGTACAGCCTTGTCCTCAAAATTTGGCAAGCCAGTGTAGCAATTAGCCCGGGAGAGATTAATTATAGAGCGATTAATGGCTGACAATAGGAAATTACACGTAGCAGTGTTCCCATGGCTAGCATTTGGCCACCTGATTCCATTTTTTGAGGTGGCCAAATTCATAGCTCAAAAGGGCCACAAAATTTCCTTCCTATCCACCCCTAGGAACATGAATCGCTTGCCAACTTTGCCTCCAGACTTAGTCCCGTGTTTTGATTTCGTTAATCTCACATTACCAAGGATAGAAAACCTTCCCGAAAATGCAGAGGCCACTATGGATGTTCCCCCTGAAGACATCCATTTTCTCAAGAAAGCATTTGATGGTCTTGAAGATGAGTTGACTCAGTTCCTTGAGTCTTCAACTCCTGATTGGATTATTTACGATTTTGCTCCTTATTGGTTACCTCCCATTGCTGCTCAGCTTAGAATTTCTCGTGCCCATTTCTTTGTGATTAATGCATGGTTTTTGGATTTTTTTGGACCAACATCGGTCATGATCGATTCCCCCAAGAAAGATTTGACTCTTAAGGATTACACTGCCCCCCCGAAATGGATTCCATTTCCTACGAATTTAGCATATAGGATGTACGAGTGGAAACGGACTCTGGAGACGTCAAACAAGCCTGGAGGGAGCGTTACTGATACGTATCGGCTTGGCTCGGCCATATCGGGGTGTGACATGATTATAATTCGTCACTGCTTCGAGTTTGAACCGTTATGGTTGAACCTGCTCGAAGAACTTCATCATAAGCCAGTCATTCCACTCGGTCTCATGCCACCAGGTGATCAAGAAATTGAAACCATTGACAAAAATGAATCGTGGGTTGCAATCAAGGAGTGGCTTGATGAGCAGAAGAAGTTGTCTGCGGTTTATGTAGCTTTGGGGAGTGAGGTGGGACTGAGTCAAGATGAACTCACTGAGTTAGCTCTTGGATTGGAGCTGTCAGGTTTAAGCTTCTTCTGGGCTTTAAGGAGGTCTGATTCGTTGGAGCTACCAAATGGGTTTCTGGAGAGAGTTAAGGACCGAGGGATTGTATGGGAAACTTGGGCTCCCCAATCCAAGATACTAAGTCATGACTCGGTCGGCAGTTTCTTGACCCACTGTGGCTGGAGTTCTATAATTGAGGGACTTGAGTTTGGTCGAGCACTAATAATGTTACCAATAGCTGTTGATCAAGGTTTGAATGCAAGGATTCTGGTGGATTCAAAGGTGGGTGTAGAAATTCCAAGAGATGAAAATGATGGTTCTTTCACTAGAAATTCTGTGGCCGAGTCAGTTAAGAAAGTAACAGTTTGTGAAGATGGTCAGATTTTCAGGGATAAAGCAAAGGAACTGAGTTATGTATTTGGAGATAAAGATATGCACAATAGGTACATGATAATGATAATGAGTTAATAATGTATTTGGAAAATTGGACTGTGAATTATGATAATGATCAATTTTTGTGTTTTGTTTTGTTATATTATGTTGTTTCTCATTGTTAAAGTGTCATGTTGGTAATAATGGTGCCAATTCTTCAATTCCCCTGCGAAAATGTATCCAGTGGGGTACATTGCATGTCACAGTCTCAAGGGGAAATGAGCTACGGATAGAGATTAAAATATCCCAAGTTTATAACCCATGACATATGTTCTTGGGAAAAGAGACCAATGAACTTGATCAATATATCCAAATCTTGACCTCCATGTCAAAATTACTTGCCCCAATATTGCACTAAAAGTGCTTAAAATAAATGAAAGTTTTGTAGGAGTATTTGTATTAGAATCTTTTCAACATAAGATTTTGATAGCTAGAAAAACTGATACATCTCAAAAAGTAATGATTAAAACATCTATGGAGAACCCAAAAAGAAAAAAGAAAAAAAAATAAAAAAGATTCATGATAAAAAAAAATGTAGCAAAATTTGAGCTACTGAAAAGTACATTTGAGTTTCGTACTATTTCCAAAAATAGCAAATTCTTCTCTATCATAAGAAATGATGAAGGTCCAATATCAATTATTGGAAGCATGATTCATGTCGTTTACCCCTTAAAAGAAATTGACATGCAATTGAACAGAACATGAATCATATGGGTAAGCGCCAGAATGAAGACTATATAGCCTGTAATTCAGCAAACTAAATCATTGATAAACTTTAGCTTCTTATAAACCTCAGTATTAACGGGCCAACTCTCTGTTTGAATTGCACGAAAACAAAGAAATTCTGAAATTTTTTGTAATGCATATGCATGCGTACCTTTATCCAGAAAATGTTATACAATATAATCTTGGGAAAAATGCACTTTTCATCTTCAAAATTTGGGCTGTTGACTAATTTCATCCTCAAAGTTTCACCCAAAACACATTTCATCCTCAAAGTTACGTAATTTTGGCCAATTAAGGACAATTGACGGGAAATAAAGAAATTGGTGTTAAATCCAACTGTAAACCCAACAAAAAATGGATTTAACCGAATGGAGCCATTTTTTAACAGAACAAAAATTGTTGCAACGGACGAAAACCAACATTCTTCTCCTTCTTCCCTCTGTCTTTTTGCAACCCCAAATTTTTTTTCTCAATCTCTGGATTTCTTAGACGTTTGCAAATGCCAAATCCAGTTGTAAGGTTCGTTTACTTGGTGGAGGTTGATTTCCACCACATCCCCATCCCTAACACCCACCTTGGTTTCTTCCTCCTTCACCTCCCTATCTCCAACCGTCTCTTTCACCCCCTCTACCACCACCACCACCTCCTCCACTACTGCCGCCGCCATCACCACCACTCCCACTTCCCCAACCATGGCCTCCACCATTTCCACCACCGCCGCCTCCTCCTCCACCTCCACCCCCACCCGCACCTCCACGTCCATCTCCACCGCCACCACTGCCAGCACCTCTGCCACCACTACCTCTCCTTCTACCGCATGTATGTTTTCCTCTCCTTTTCCTCCTTCCACCACCTCTCCCTCCACTACCACTTCCACCGCCTCCACCTCCATCTCCACTGCCGCCGCCACTACCGCCGCCGCCATCCCCTCCTTCTCCTCCACTACCTCCATAGTGCGCAACCTGATTGCCATTTACTTCCAGAACTCGTACCGTTATGGTGAACAATCACATTCCCATCCTTTGCATGTTGACCATTTCCACTCTCACTTCCCCAACCACCGCCTCCTCCATTTCCACCACCGCCTTCTCCCCCACCCCAAAACAATAGATGGGATTATCTGAGGATGGGTGGAGAGATTGTGAAATATGGATATGATATCGAGCTTAGCCTGCACGCTTAGATTCTGGAAACCGCGTTCTTCTGCCAATTGGGAATTCAGAGATCCAACCAGGATTTGGGCAGCCCCATATGCTGCGATTGCTAACTTGTTAGCGGAGCAAGAAGAAAGAACCAAGAGGGCTGCTGCTGCAAGGTCAATCAATGACTCTTTTTGGCATTGAATGATCTCCAACAATATTGGTATGGCACCAGAATTTGCAATTCGGATCTTGTTTCTGCAAAATCATAGCAAAATTAGATGGGGAACAATTCTACAGCCAATGCCTTCGGATGCAACTTCAAAAATTGCAAAATTTAACTGATGCAAACAATACCTTTCATTGTGAAAAGCTAGACAATGCAGAGCAGAGTGCAGCTTTAGTGGCTTCATAAACTTGCTTACGAAGCATCGTAACGAGCCGAGAAATGATCCCTCTTTCTGCTAACTCTGTCTTAGTTTGGTTGCAAGTTTACCAAGTTCTCTGGCAGCTAAAATCTGAGCTTCCCGTTCATTAGATAGAAGGGTTTCCACTATCACATCTTCCATGGTTGGAAGCCCTCTATCCCCCTCAGTCACTTCTCAACTCTCTTTATGTGAATTTGAAAATATAGAAATTTAGTATTTGATTGCTTCAAGGTGGTGTAAGGTTTGGCTTTTGGGAAAAAATTTTGGAGTTGCAGAAAGGCAGAGGGAAGAAGGAGAAGAATGTTGGTTTTGGTCCGTTGCAACAATTTTTGTTCTGTTAAAAAAAGGCTTCAGTCGGTTTAACCCATTTTTTGTTGGGTTTACAGTTGGGTCTAACGCCAATTTCTCTACTTCCCGTCAATTGTCCTTAATTGGCCAAAATTACATAACTTTGAGGATGAAATGTGTTTTGGTGAAACTTTGAGGATGAAATTGGTCAACAGTCCAAACTTTGAGGATGAAAAGTGCATTTTTCCCTATAATCTTTCTAAGACAAAAGTTTAAAAGCTCATATGCAGATGGATAGATTTCGCGGTGCATTGTGTAATGATATTGCTCGAACAAGATGCTCTGCTCTTCCTCAGACGAGTTTTACAAAGTCAAATTCTTTACAGCGCGAAGCGATAACAGGAGTATGGTAGAAAAATATTCAGCAACTAGAGAGAACTAGGAGGTGTTTACCACGCGATGCGCGGTATAAGTTTAAAGATTGCCCAGAAAATGAGGAGGGATTTTGTGTGAGGAAAACTTGGTTGTTTATATACCTATTGTTTTTTTGGTTTGTGTTGATTGCATTTTGATTTGAATAGTAAAAATTGAACTGGAAAGTGGAAATTATTTTATTTGGATGTTTGGCTTAGTTATATTTGTGGTAGTATTGTGATAGCGACAGATAATTAGTGCAAAAATGAGAATTTATTGTAAAATAAATAAGTATGTAATAAAGGAGGAGTGTAAAGACAAAGAAAATAAAATAGGAAATGTAGTTATAATACGCAGGAATTATGATTAAATATACATAGTGAAAATCAGATTAAAGGCAACAGTGATGTACGCAAAATAAGTAGAAGGTCAATCATTGATGTTAAGGTTGTTCATGTTAATATTCTCAGCATTGAAAACTTCGTCAACCGAGTAGGATGTGATTATCTCATAAGCTGCACGTTTTATGGGTCTGAATTTGGAAGGAGAGGGCTTAATGTAGCACATGAGCAGTTTTCCTTGTAAAGTATGCGCAAGGTATTGAGCAAGATCAACGCCCTGTTATAAAAAAATGATGGAAGAAAACTGTAACGGGTTTAAAAAAGAAGCAAGAAAATATTTAGTTTGAAAAAGTATCAGTGGTTACTTCTTGTTGTAAATGGTATAGTTCCACGGTTGAATACTGAATTAGCTTCTCTGCTTCAATATCCATAGCAGTAGCACATAAATATCCAGTTCTATCAATGAGTGAAATTGCAATGAGAGCTCTGCAACGAAGAAATAGGCAGGTTTGCAGTTAGAAATTGGAAGCGATTAAAGTTGGTGATGAAAGGAAGCAAGAGAAGTTAATAATTATGTTTACCTAGGAACTAAATCTACGTTAGAGTGGCAGTGTTGACATGTAACAGGCAAATTGCTTGCAATTTTGCTTGGATAGTAACAAAGGGGACAAGCTATATAAGTTAAGTTATGATGTACATAATCCAGCTCAACAACACCTTGAATCCAGGCAGTCATTGGTTTCTTTGAGAGAGAAGAAAAGGTAGAAGAAAGAGTCAAGGCTAAAAAAAAAGGAAAAAGCTGTGGAAGTGAATGTAAAGGACAGTATATGTAAATGTAAATATTGAAATAGGAACATTACCTATTGAAGAACGGAAGCAATATGAGTGATTCGATTATGGTTTACAGGAGGAAGAAGTATACGTGGGTTAGTGTAACTGCTCTCATTAAGCATTCGTGCTAGGATATCGGCATGGTAATGATGCCTATGATAAAAGCGAAATATTTAAGTTGTTATATAATAAAGGAGATAATAACGCAGAAAGTGGTTAAAACGTTCTACCAGGATTTTAAGTTGATCGCCTGTTGAGCGGTCGGAGCTACCAAAATCACCCAGGAATGGTGAGTTGAGAGACTCAAATCTGATATGTTTGGCAAGAATAGGGTAAAAGTTATATAGGTGACAGAGAATTTTTTTTGGAAATGATAGAAGTTTAGAAGACTCTTTAAATAATAAAGGTGAAGTAAGTGAGCACAATGATTTGTTGTAGCTTTGACTCTTATGGCGATGATAATTGGAAAAGGGTCTTCTGCTAATGCAATAGCAGGGCCATAATTTTCTTCAAACTCATCTTGCAAAGTTAATATCAAAGGTTTCATGCTGTGGAATGAATAACAATAGAATACGTTATTGGAAATTTGCACGATTTTGAAAGAACGAAAGTGAAAATTAGATTGATAAGTAAATGTTTTACTCTTGATTAGCAATCACATAGTCTCGAGCTACACGTGGTGTTCCTTGACCAGGGACAATGTTGTTAGGTAGAGCATGGAGTATAACTCCCATGACAGCTTAGGAAAACGGAAGAAGCGAATATATTAAGATTATAAAAAAATGTCAAGTAAGTAAGATGCGGGGAAAAACAAGCAGAGGATAATGATGAACTTACTTATTAATTGTTCGGTATCAGCAATTACGTCCAGCATAGTAAATGGATATAACTGAAAATGCGAAGGGAGAGAGGGATAATCGAGCTGTTGAATTTG